GCAGCGACTCAAGCTGCTGCTGCCGTAGAGCCCCAAACCTAACAGGTTACCTAACTCTTCTGTCTTCTCTTCTATTAGCTGCGTCAGCAGTTGGCGCTGCTGCCGATGCACAGGCATTGACACAGCCTCCTGCAGCACCAAGACCTGCTGTTGCAGCTGCTGCTGCTCCTGCAGCAGCTGCTGCTGCTGCTCCTGCAGGCTGGCGTCCCACATGAACGCCAAACTCTGCAGCTGCAGCGAGGCCCTCAAGCATGAAAACGAATTTATAAGAAAGACGCAGCTCGAGGCCTTGCCCATGAAGTGAGCCATTTGCAGACACTAGTTGAGGCAGCGGGACACGTCGCGGCCTACCAGCGTCTCCAGGCGACTCACAGCGCGCGTCGGCTGCTGCTGCTGCTGCTGCTGGGGCTGCTGCTGGAACTGCTGCTGAGGCTGCTGCAGAGAAGAAAGAGAAGCTGCGTACGCTAACAGCAGGTCTTGCAGGCGCGAGGCAAAAGCCGTTAGAAACGGAGGCAAACTGCTGCGGGGTGGAGCCCCCTCTTCAGCGGCGGGGGCCCATTCTGCTGCTGCTGCTGCGGATAGCTGCGGCAGCAGCAGCGCCGAGGAGTCCCACTGGGTCTCGAGCCTGTCCAGCACCCTCGTTGAAAGATCCAACAAGAAACGCACCAGCAGCGGCTGCCGCTGTTGCTGCTGCTGCTGCTGATGCTGCTCTCTCTCAAGACGCTTTTCAGGAGAGTTCTGAACGGCAGCAGCGATTGCTTGCTCAGTAGCCGCTGCTGCTTGTTCTAGCAGCAAGCCTATTTTGAACGCTGTGATGCCGCAGCTGCTGGTGCTGGTGTTGCTGCTGTTTATGCTACTGTCGAGAACAGCAGCAAGCTGAGCAGCAAGGGGCCCATGAAGAGCCTCAAGGGACCCTTCTAGCAACGCTGCGGGGTTCAGCAGCTCCTGTAGCGTGGCTGCGCTGCTGCCAGCCTCAGTGGGGAGAGTTGCTGCGTCTGAAAGCGGCAGCCAACCCCGCACCTGCTGCTGCTGCTGCAGTTGCGGTTGTAGTTGCTGTTGCTGTTGCTGCTCTTGCTGCTGTTGCTGTTGCTGATTTACAAGTGGAAAATGGGACTCTGCAGCCTCGTCACTTCTTTCACATACGTCTGAAGCGTCGGCAGAGAAGCCGTGTCTCTTTTCCTGTTGCTGCTGCTGCTGCTGCTTCTGGATTCCAAGTGCAGCAGCTCCCCCACGGGTATACAGCAGCTGCAGCAGGGAGACAAAGGCAGCGGCTTCTGCTGCTGCTGCACGCGGGACCCACCGCAGCGCCGCCGTGAGGGTCCTCGGCGCTTCCTTGCCTGCAGCAAACCTCATGGGCTCCCCCCAGGGGCCCTCCGCAAGGAGTTGCTGCTGCAGTTGTTGCTGCAGCAGCTGCCGCCGCAGACGCAGCAGCTGCTGCAGACACTGCAGCAGATAAGTGGGATGAGAGTGAAGGTCCGCTAAAGCTTCCCATAGGACCGCATACTGGCTGCTTGTCTCGCTGCTCTGTGCTGTTGCAGTTGTTGTTGCTTCTGCTGCCGCCGCTGTTGCTGCTGCTGTTGTTGCTTCAGAACCGTGTTTCCAGTTCTCCTGCAGCTGCTGCTGCTGCTGAAGCGAATATTGCTGCTGACCTGAGATGTCAAGGAGCACTTGGAATGCAGCCCCAACGGCATCTGTGTCTCTCGTTGGTGCTGCTGCTGTGGCAGCTGCTGCTTCCCCTGTTGCTGCTGCTGCAAGCTGCTGCAGGCAGAGCAGCAGCAAAAGATGTAGCCTTTCGTGGCCTATTTCGTCCAGCTCGCCTGTCTGTTGCAGCAGACTCTCTATGAGGGGGAACCCCTGTGCAGTTGCTGCTGCGCCTGTTGGCGTTCCTGCTGCTGCTTCTGCTGCACCTGTTGCTGCCGCTGCTTTTAGCTGCAGCAGCAGCTGTCGCTTCTGCTGCACCTCCGAAAGTGCCGAACGTGTGTCTTGCAGCTCCTTGGACAGTTCTTCCTGCTGTAGTTGCTGTTGCTGCTGATGCGGCTGCTGTTCGCCTGCCGCTGCTGCTTGCTGCTGCAGCAACGGAGGCACGGGGCGCATGATAGTTTCTAAGTCCTTCTGGGGGACGGAAAGGCGCTGCAGCACCTGAATGCAAAATGCCTCCTTTTTGGACAGCTGCTGCTGCTGCTGCCGCAGCTCCAGCAGCTGCTGCAGCAGCGGCAGCAGGTGCTGCCTGCTCCTAGCCAGCCGCCCCAAAGCCTCCGATAGAGTTGCCTTCAAACAATCTGCTGCTTGCTGCAGCTGCTGCAGCAGAGGAGACACGCGGCGGAGGGCCTCTAGCTGCTGTCTGTACACCCCGAGCCGCTGCCGCCGAACGAACAAAGACAAGTTTACAGACGTTGTGGGGCGAGCTGCTGCTGCTGCTGCTGGCGCTGCTGCTGCTGAGAGAGGCTGCCGCTGCTGCTGCTCCTCCCACCCGTGGCTGTCGAGACACTTGAGGCTTTCTGAAAGAAGAGATATGTCCGTTTGCTGCTGCTGCTGCAGCAGCTCGCGAACAATCCGCTGCAAGGGCCCCTCCGCGGAGGCTGCAGCAGCCTTTGTAGCCACTGGCATCTTCCCATTCATCTGCTGCTGCTGCACCTGCTGCTGCTGCTCCTGTGACGCCAAATCGTGTGGCAGCAGGAGCTCCTTCTGCTGCTGCTGCTCTTGCTGCAGCATCCTTGTGGGGGTCCTTAATAAACACCTCCGGGGGCCCCCCCGTGGGGCTCTGGTCCAGGGTTCGGGGCTCACAGGGGATCTGTGGCCCTTAGCAGCAACTCTATATTGCTGCTGCTGCTGCTGCGCTTGCTGCTGTTGCTGCCTTTGCTGTCGCTGTCGAGCCTGTTACTGCTACTGCACTCAATGCTGCATCTGATGCTGGGCTTGCTGCTGTTGCTGCTGTGCTTGCTGCAGCTGCTGCTGTGCCTGCTGCTGCTGCTGCTGTGCGCGCTGCTGTTGCTTTGCTTGCTGTTGCTGCCGCAGCTGTGACGGCTAGCTCCTTTCCCTGCGTTTAGACAAACAGCATCTCAAGCAGCAGCGCGTCGACTGCAGACTCACTTGCTGTTGCTGCTGCTGCACGTGCCGCTGCTGTCGCGGCTGTAGGTGACGCAGTTGCAACAGGCGACGCATCAGCGGCACCTGCTGTTGCAGGCGGCGCTGCAGCAGCAG